AATTTTAAGCATGTATTGTAAAATCAAAATACATTTGGATTACACAAATATTTTTTATTCTCGTTTATTGGGTGCTAAGAATGTCTATCAAATGTGCCTGTATAGCTCATATCCAATAGTTTCAGTTATACCACATGAAGAGTGACAGAAATTAGACGAGGAAGAAGACGATGAGTCCGATATTTATTTGTAGACAATGGTGTGTATCTAACACCCATTTCACACGGCATGCGTGAGCTGTGTATATTTTTTTTTGGCATGCTTGTTAATCAATGAGTGCTTTCACCCCGGGAGCAAGAGCAGTGTGTGAGCGTCGAGCAGGAGCGGCGTGTCAGCAGTCAAATGTGTATCCTACGCTAGGGGAAACATCTCTTTCCTTCAGATATTGAAGCCAAACAATTATCCTTAATTTTGTATTAATGTAAAATGCGTTGCAGCAGCATGCAGACATAGGCAAGGTGGCTTAGCATGCCTTTTGGCTGTCCTGCGGCAACTGCAGCAGCTTATTGAGAGCGGACCTTTGGTGACTGTCCAATGGGGGCGCTTGCACATTCCCGCCGAAGCAGGTGTGGCCTAGCCCTATAAATACAGCTTGATGGGCTGATATCACTGATTCTTCATCTCTTCAGAGAATTGCTCTTGAGTGAGAAGCCATCTTCTGAAGCCGCTGGCCTTCATCTCACCGCTTCCGGCTGCGCTATCCGGCGTCTATATCCTTTACACTCTGCTCACTGTGTGTTCGCCCCCACAACTCACTTTCTAAAAGAGCTTCGTCTTTTTAAATATGCCATCCTCATGCAGCTTGTGCCGAGCCCCACTCAACGACGGGGACCTCAGCACTCACGCTCGCTGACGGTGGCTGCCCTCATTGCGAGCTATTGCCGATGGTGACTGAGGACTGGCCTGGCTTTTTTCTCTGATCTGAACGTGCTCCTCCCAAGCTTTGTTAATAAAACATAAGTTAGCATTGTGCGATAATATACTTATTGAGAGATATCGTTTTTTTTTTTTTGTTTTTTTTTTCTTGTGAGGGTGTCATTTTACATTATTGATTTGTTGGAACCACACGTTAAATGTTAGACTCTGGCTTTAACAACGGCACAAACTGTTTGTATTGCTTTGAGATTATTTGCGAGTGGCACTTTCCTTTACGCTATTGGAGATGCGGAAAACTTGGGGAAAAGTTTATTTGACACTCAAGCAGTTTTTAGGGGGCTTTGTGGTATTTCCAAGCCACTTCAGACCACAGGTTGTGAAGCAGATTTTATTTTTTTTTATTTTTTTATTGCCATTCAGGTACATTATAATTTTTAATGAAGATCATGCAACCATATTCATGCCAAAAATTTGGATTTAAGGTTTAAGGTTCCTCAGGCTTCCCTAGCATGATTGGTGCCATAGACTGCACACATGTCCCCATCAAGGCCCCACCAGGCCCCAATAAAGGGGATTGTGTGAACCGAAAGAGAATTCAGTGTAAATGTGAAAGTAAATTACTATTCCAATTCTTAATATTCCAGATTTGTAATATATCAAAAAAAAAAAAAAAAAAGTAATGTAATCAAAAAGTGGCCTAGTTCTGTGCATGAAAAAAAAATATACCAAGCTCACTGTATTACATACATTTAATCTGAGACTAACAAAACTGCATTTTTTCCAGGTGCTTACGACAGGATTCTACTTTGTGACCGGGGCTATGCCTGCAGGCAATATTTTGTGATGCCATTCCCTTGACCCAAACCCTGGACCACAAATCCATTTCAAAGCAGCTCTAGCCAAGACAAGGGCACACATTGAAATGACCTTTGGGCAACTAAAGGAAACATTTCAGTGTATGAAGGGTCTAAGGGTTGCACCTGACAGGGCCTGTGACATTATTGTTGCATGTGCCTCAGTGGATTACTCTTTTGCCATCATCAGAAAGGAAAGGAGCGCTGTGGTGGAGGTTCAGCCTGATGATGACCTCTAGCCAGTGCACTTGGACCAACCTGGTGGCAGAGCTGCATGGGACAGAATTAAAAAAAAAAACCCTTCATTAACTCTTTCCCCGCCAAACACGGAATTTTCCGGGTATCCGTGTTTTAGGTGGTATACGGTAAGGAAGACCCGCGCGCATGTCCTGAATGATTGCGCAACTCTTTGTTTAGAGAAACAGATTGCAATCGTCTCAAACAGTGGAGTAGTGAGAATGTATCAGACAGACAATGCAGAGGTATATGGCTGAAGTACTGGAGGTTAATGGACTCGGAGTCCGATCACTCTTTATTTGATAATTCTGAATCTGATCGGGACGAAGTAGTCAGTGAGAGAGATGCACATGTTCATGCTAGCCATGGACGTGCCGCAGATAGATCGTATAATATTATGACACTATAATATGTATGTGTGTGTGCAGGCATTTATGTGTGGCTGTCTAAATATGAAGGTGTAATTGTCAAATTATTTCTCTCTTTGTGCACATTTACCACATTGTAATATGTATTTGTGTGTGTGTGTGTGTGTGTGTCTAGGCCTGTTTATTGTAATTCCAATTATTCATTATTCACAGGTAGAACACAGAGAGGCAGAGGCAGAAGTTTTATTGCAAAAGTTACATTTCCCTTACATCCTGGGAAATTTGATATATTTTACATTTATTTTATGTTTTTAATTTATTTTGGAAAGTTTTATATATGAAGGAAACAACATCTGAATGTATTCTGCTTTTAAATGCACTTGTTTGATAAAAACACCTTTTTCTCAGTTTTTTGTCCAAAATGTTGTGTTTTTGACAAAACCTACCTCTGTTCAAGAGGCAATAAAAAAAGAACAGATGAAGATAAAATAAAAACGTTTTTTTTGCCTAAAAGCAGAGGCTCAGATCTTTATTTTTATATATATCATCTTCATATATTCATGGAAGAAAATATTCAGCGGGGGCATTCAAATTTAGCGAAAATCGTCAAAAACCCTGGCGGTGGCTGGCAACTTTTTTTTAAAACGCTGGCGGGGAAAGAGTTAAATGAATAGAATAATTTAAATAATAATCTAAGAACTAAGCATGTTGTCTTGTCTTTGTCAAAAAAGCCAGTGATGGTCATCTATTGCCTGCAATGAGATATATTGTTATCCAAGGTCAGCAATGTGTGAAATAGTGTATTAGCACTTACTCTGAAGTTCCTTTTGAAGCAACTCAATCTGTAGTGCCAGTTTTTTTTTTTCATTTGTAAGATGTCAAGTTCTATTTCTCCCCTTATTTTTATTATTTTTTTTTTTCAGGTCAAAATACTCAATTTTCTGTTGTAGATTCCGTTTAGATAGGGTACGAATATCACCCTGTGCCATTTTTGGATAAAAAATAATTACCAAAATTGCCTCATGCAACAGAAATAAAAAAGAAATGCACTACACTGTCCACCTCTGTATCACTTTGTGCTGTAGGCCTGTCTGGCCTTTCCTCCAGCAACTCATATTGCAGTCAGAAACAATAGCAACATTTTTAGATTAAGTTTTGCCGTTTTCACCTTCACAAGTCAAAGCTACTCAATATTTTTCTGTTGAAATGACTGTACAAGCCATTTGAATTATTTGGCATCAAATTATTTACGGTGTAGCAAGATAATTTAAAACTCATTTAATGAAGGCGTTGCTGTTACTGTTCCCTGGCTTTTGGTCTGAGGAAGAGCTGCTTCCAGGGATGCCCTCCACAATGAGTCAGTTCACATTTAACCCAAGGGCCAACTCTTCTTCTGGGGTATAACGTGGGGGTGCAGGACCACCACCTGTTCTTTTCTGCTCCGCCTTTTTCTTGGCTGCTGTTATAAACAGACACATATTTTATCATTACACTTTACAATTTAACATTTATTTTGGTAAAATAGACTAAACAGTAGAAGTAGAAAAGATTATTCTTGTACTTCACTTTTACTTGCAATTATTAAATTATTAAAATACAAGAATAAATACTGTAATAAGTGATAGAACCATTGTCTGCTACTTTTTGCCAGCCCTCTCTTCTGGCTTCTGCATATCCTTCAAGCAATAACTCTTGCTCTGCTGTGGTGAAAAACTGAGCAAGCTCTTGGTCATGGCCATGGTGAGCAGCCAATAGCAGCGTTGATGATCAAAGTTTCTACTATCGATAAATGTCCCCTTTAAACCATTGCATGAACACGCAATTATCTCAGATACTGTAACTCAATCCAGCTATACTAATCATAACCGGCAGGTGTGTTCGAAGAACCCAATTAGCCAGATCATGATTAGGCCAATGATATCATCTTGGATGTCTCATTTGATCTCGTATGTTTTAAGTAACATACGAAGAACGGGCCCCATGCCTCAGGCCATAAACTTTTTAATTGTGTTGTGTTGATCATGGCAATGACAACATGAACAGATTCAAGGAAAAATACTCAAATTTTGTTTCTAAAGTCTCCACTGAATGATTAGTAGGCTCTGTTATTACTGATTGTTTGAGTTTGACTGTGAGTACAGGACACAGTCTGTCCATCCTTCCATCCATCCATCCAGGAGTATTTTGTCTTTATTTTTTTATTCTTTTTACCATATCTGGTTTATTTCCCTCCAGGGAATACATGACATGATTGTCATCTTAAATCCACAAGTCATTAAACAGGACAATGATATGATTAAAGCATGTATTGTAATACATATCCCAGCAAACACAGAATGTTCCCCTAATGTTCCCGTATGGTTCCTATTTGATTATTTTTTGGGGGGAACCAAATAAGAACGTTCTGGGAATGTTCCCTGTAGGTTATTTTAGGTTTAATTTTATAACCTAAGGAGAATGTTCTGGTAACGTTCTTTTAGGTTCTCCTAAAAGAAACGTTCCCAGAACGTTCCCCTAACCTTAAGGGGGCGTTCTATTTACGTTAAGAAAACTTTCCTGGGGAACCAATAGGGAACGTTCTGGGAACATTCTGGGAACCAAAAACTAACGTTCCCAGAACCTAAAATTGTTTGCTGGGATGTGACATTTCTGTATACACAGCAAAATCTTCAGTGTTGAAATCCTGGTGTTAAAGTCTCTTAGAGTAAAGTGTTAATTTTCTGGTGTTGAATCTCAAGGGATTAACACTAGCTAGTGTAAACCACACTCTGGCTGGTGAAAATATGTGGAGTTAAATCTAAGTAGCACCTGAGAATGCTTTGACAACACCAATAATAGTGTTACTAGTCACATCCGGGACATTTACGTGCTGGGCGGAACGAAACGAGCTGAAACTTTACTCACAGACGCCATTTTCTTTGACTCGAGTCGCAAGGCATACGAGGAGGAAACACGCATTTATTACGTGTTTTATCGCATTTATAGATTCATTTTATAACATCATATTGTTTTATAACAATATGTATGTTCTGTGGACGAGCAAACCGCTCTCAGAGGGACATTTTCTATGACGCGCGATTCGGGGCAGACCAGGATGGGTTTGCTTTTTAACCGGGAAACAACGAAAGTAAGTGTTTTCTAATTTACATTGGCAATGTATTTTATAGTATATTGATTCATGGCGATATTTAAATGCCCAGCGCGATTAAACGGTCGAAATTCTTTTCAAAGGCGACATCATCTTTGACTAGCCTAAATACGGAGCTGACGAGGAGGAGGCTTAACGTTAACAGGGAAAACACCTACAGTAAGTGTTTTTAACATAATTTACCTCATTAATTTCATGGCATTATATTGTTTTGTAACGATATTTATGTAATGTGCGCGCCTAAACCGTCAGGTCCTGCATCTTTGACTCGTGACGCATTTCAAAAAGCAGTGCAGAATGCAGACACGGAGTTTGCTTTTAACAGTGAAAACACCGACTAGGTAACTTTAAGTGTTTTTTACTCATTTACTGTGCTACGTGTTTTATAATATGATATTGTTTTATGACAATATGTGTGATGTGCAAATATCATAAAGTATTTATCCTCAAACTATCTTTTACTCTCGTCTGCCAGCTAGACCAACTCCACAAACTGCGGACCAACAATGCACGTGAAATTTTCACTTTATTTCCTTATTTGGAGGACCAATCTTCTTAGAATGGGTAAGCAATTATTTCAAATTAAATATTGATGCAAAATGTATTTATCAGATTAACTTTTGGTTGATATTTGGAGATGCTTTAATGTTTAAATTTATTGATTTTTGCAATTTGTTTTTGCTAGGAGCAATTCTATGATGCACCAAGTGGCTAAGGGTACCAGGCTTGGTGTTTAAAGACTGTACAGACTAGAACCTGGTGATGGAAAGATAACAGATAAGTTAACATATGAGAGAATCATGGGCACAAACAAAAATAATCATGGCTTGGTATTACTAGATTTTCTTTGTTTCATAACACATATTTTGAATTTGTCTAGTCAAATTACTTAACAAAAGTGTGTGTGTGTGTGTGTGTGTGTGTGTGTGTGTATATATATATATATAAAATTAAAATAAGATTTCTAATCAATGGTTTTCTTGATTTGACAAGTAGAAATCTCTTCCCATCACCTGCCCCCAACATTACAAAGCCACAAGAAGAGAACACCGATCCTTCCAGAATCCGGCGGCTGACTATTTAGTGAGATTTCTTAAGGTGCGTGTCTTAATTTATTCTTAAAGTGTTAGTTCACCCACAAATGGAAATTCTGTCATTAATTACTCACCCTCATGTCGTTCCAAACATGTGAGCGTTTTTCGATGTTCACAACACAAACGAAGATATTTTTAATGAAATCTGAGAGCTTCGTGCCCCTCCATTGACAATCTACGCAACTACCACTTTCAAGCCCCAGACAAAAGTACATCATTAAAGTACTCCATGCGACTCCAGTGGTTTAACATAAATGTTTATTAAACTATGCAAGTGCTGTGTTTGCAGCAAAAACACATTTACCAATTTATTAAATATTTATTTCCAACATGCGTTCATGAGAACATTACAACTCGTGCATGTTGTTGATGTGCATGTATGTGCGTTGAAGAGGAATATTTTGTAAATAAAGTTGAGTTAAAATTGTGAAATTTATGTTACACCACTAGAGTCACATGGATTACTTTTGATTTCCTTTATACCTTTCCGTGGCTTTGGAAGTGGTGGTTGAATAGGCTTTAGATGAATGGACAGAAATCTCTTATATTTCATTAAAAATATCTTCATTAAAGGGACTGTTCACCCAAAAATGTAAATTCTGTCAGTATTTACTCACCTTCATGTTGTTCCAGCCCTGTAAGACTTTTGTTCATCTTCTGAACACAAATTAAGATATTTTTGATTAAATCTGAGCTATCTCACTCCTCCATAGGCTTCTAAGGGATCAAAACTTGCCAGCCCAGAAAGTTATTAAAGATATTGTTAAAATAGTCCAAGTGATTACAGAAGCGCAATCATAAGTTTATCAAGCAACGAGAATACTTTGTGTGCCAAAAACAAACAGAAATTACGACTTTATTTAACTATGCATGCTTCTCTGTGGGCCTTGAGATGGTTCTCGTAGTGTAACAGTGCTTCAGTGTTGTACGTCACACACAGGCTCACTATTGGCCGACGCTGGTTGTGTGTGTGTGTGTGACGTACAACACAGAAGCGCTGCACTGTTACACTGTTAACTTGCTCAGGCCCACGCAGAAGAAAATGAATAGTTAATTTTAATATTTTTAGTTTGGTTTTTTTTTTGCATACAAAAAGTATTTTTGTCACTTGATAAACTTAAGGTTGAGCCACTGTAGTCACTCTGACTATTTTTTTACAATGTCTTTAATAACTTTTCTTGGCCGCCAAGTTTCAATCCCTTAGAAGGCTATGGAGGAGTGAGATAGCTCAGATTTAATCAAAAATATCTTAATTTGTGTCCTGAAGATGAAGGAAATTCTTACGGGGTTGGAACAACATGAGGGTGAATAATTAGTCAGAATTTTCATTTTTGGGTGAACTAACCCTTTAAGTGTTTCGAAGATGAGCAAAACTCTTACTGGTTTGGAACAACATGAGGGTGAATAATTAATGACAGAATTACATTTTTTTTATTAATTAAATCTTCGATTTACTTGGAAATCAGTAAATTCAAGTCTTAATCATGCCCCTTAATCAAACAAAAACTTTTTTTTTCACCCTAAACTTGCTGTATTTATGAAACACAAATGTGTAAATGATCTGGTTTTGTGTTCTAGGTACCCAGTACTACACGATTTTTCACTAAAGTTGGATCTGCACAGCCTTTTCTGCTCTGTGAAACAACTGCACTGAACTTTACTGTTAGCGACTGGATACAGCTGATCCACTCATATCCTGCTACTGTTTTTCATCTGCTGAATGTTTTTGACTCAAGCACTGCTGTACTGTTGCAAAGTCAAAGGTACTGAATTAACTTCACTGACACAGGACTCACATTCACTGATATGTTCAGGACTTAAGTATTAAACACCATTTGATCACATCATATAATTCTGATGACAGAAATCCATATATTGTGCATTCATCGTTTATTTAAAAAATTAACCTATAATGTAAACGTGCTTGTTCGTTAATAAAAAAAATAGTTTGTTTGAAACAACTGTTTACATTTTGCCTTTATTTTTAACTTTACAGTGAACAGAATTCTACTATGATCCCAGACTTTTTGGATTGTTTTGAAATAAAGTTTTTTAAGAGTAATAAAGAGTGATGTGTTTATTTCAAAGTGAAATTATTCTTTTAAATAATAAGATGGTATTGCATTGGAGAGTTGTCTTATTCAATTGTATGTTTGAAAAATTTAAATTTTAATACATGTTAAAATAAATTCATAGTAACTTGGTTTTTGGAAAAATATCTTCGGGTTTAAAAGTTTAATTTTTTTAAACTTCATCTGCATTACCATTTTAAAATAAGTATACATTATAAACATTAAATCAACATAAAAAAATACACTGGAGTTGTGTGATTAAACACCATAAAGTGTTAAATGTGTATATTTAAGAGTAATAATTTCTAACACCTTGAGTGATTAAATGAAACACTAACACAGTGTTTAAAAAATAAACACTATCGTCAGTGTTGTTTTAACACTAGCAAAGATGGACCTGTATGTTCACCCGGAAAGTGATAATTTTAACACCCATGGTGACAAATCTCCTGACATTTTTTTGCTGTGTAGAATGATTATTTACTGTTAAAACATTGACCCTGAGCAGTGCTGATATTTACAATAGTTTCCAAGCACTGACGGCTGATAAAGCCTGCCTCAAGTAAAACGTTTTCAGAGTGAAAGGAAACTTCACCTACTTAAACTTTAATAGAAAGGAAAGGAAGCAATATTATGAGGTAGACATTCAGACTACATTTGCTTCAAAGCAGAATCCTGAATGATTTCTGACTTTCAAGTCACCATTTCCTAGCACACAGCATCCATTAAAGCTGAGAAAAGGACAGTGTTTTGACTCTTTGCTCTTATGCTGTGGTGGAGATCAAGATGGTGGTACTTTTACACTGTCCTTTTTCTCTGTCTTTTTTATGGATGATCAAAGTGTTCACGGCTGTTTAAGATGAGCGTTACTTCTGTGCATCATTATTCCCCCTGCAATTTAAGCATGAGACATTTGAAAGGAAGAGAAAATGTGTCACCGCAAATAGGTGTAATTAAATTTGTTTGCATTCCCAGGAGTGAATGGGTTTTTATGATCCATTTCATATGCAGGAAACTAAATATTAAATGTTAATCGCTGGAATTCTCATTATAGTTTGTCAAATGAAAAGAAACCAAGGACTTTGTAAAAATGAATTATATATTTATTTAACAAATAAGAAATCCTGTGACTATACAATTATGTGATGTTCAGTCCTCCGTTGGTCTCCTCCCTGCTTCTGTACAACATACAATATGCTAGATGTAATTAGTAAAAGCAAAAACACTTAGTCTCAGTCTCATCATCGATGCAGAGCGCCCATGTCTGCAGTTCGGTGGCTGGATGTGCCCCTTGATAATAGGAGGAGAAATTTATTTCATTTGACTGTCGCACTGCAGTAGCTGAAATTAATTACGTTGCTGTTTGATGAAATATACTTGGCTGCCTCCATTGAAAGAACAGAAACTCACAGTAGTAAACCTCCACTTAGAGAAGTATTTGCAAAGTGAGCTGGGTAATGTTACGCTAGGATTATTATCCCTCAGTGACTGGGAACTGGAACTGGGATATTTACCTTCACATCATACTGTGTGTTAAAAGATAAAACATCTGTGTCCACCTCACAATGGGTATCATTCATTCATTATTGTATGGTGTTGTACCAAAGACTTTAAAGGCGGCAGACTCATATTACTATGAATGGGAGAAAGTGTGCACAACGTGGCGGAATAAGTCCCGCCTTCTAATGAAAAACCATCATTGTGTCACTGCAGCTGCTGTTAGATGCTCCGGTTGCTATAGAAACAGTTTTTTGAGACACGCACTTAGGACTCCGCAAGCATCCTAAAAATAAGATTTTTTAATGCTATTTGAGCATAAGAAACCACATTTACGATGTAGTTGTGGTCAGATTTCATTGGTTTCAAATATGGAATTTAATGATAAGCTTGGTGGCGAAGCGGAATTTGATGTCATCCCATTTAAAGGGATAGGAGCTGCACTTGCGTGACTGAAATAACTGCTCGAGGGGCGTTTAAATGATGGCCGCCAAATTAAATGACTTGTCTTAAAGGGACTTTAGTTGTACTAGCTGTATGTGTGCAGGAAAAGTTTTCATGGACCTTAAGCTTACAAAAACACACAGGCACACACATTTGTTCTTACCATTGTTCTTACATTGATGACTCATGATTATTTTAAATGTCGGAGGGTGTGCATCAGTTAGAAATTAGCATAATACACACCCAAATACATTTTAATATATGGGCTTACCACTCAACCTTGTCTTTGTAACCATCTGTCATTATTATGACAACTTATATTTATTTATCCCCATCTACTTTTTTATTTAAAAACAAAACAAAACAAAAAAAAACAGTTGGCACAAGTCGTGTTCAACTACGTCTCTACCTTTCTTACAGAATTAACCTCCTGGACAGCAAACAGTATGGTTTCAAAATCACGCAGCTATGACTGCCCTTCTTTATTGAAGCTCTAAGACTGGCAAGAGCAGCTTCCAAATCATCAGTACTCCTTTTGCTGGCTATGTCTGCTGCTTTTGACACAGTTAACCATTAGATCCTCCTGTCAACCCTCATGATGAAGGGCATCTCAGGAACCACACTCCATTGGTTCAAATCTTATCTCTAATGTAAGATCCTTCAGGGTGTTGTGGAGGGGTGAGGTGTCTATGTCACGACATCTAGCTACTGAGGTGCCTCGAGGCACAGTGCTTGGGCCACTTCTCTTCTCCTTCTATCATCATTAAGAAATGTCGTTCAGAAACATTATCACTGCTATGCTGATGACACACAACTCTACCTCTCATTCCAACCAGATGATCCAACGGTAGCTGTCTCATATTGGTCTGCCTAACAGACATTTCTTGCTGGATGAAGGACCACCAGCATCAACTTATCCTTGTGTACACAATGAACCATCATTAATTTGTTGGAAACACATAAATGTTTTATTGTTTGAAATCAGGTTTGAATAACAGTCCAGGCAAGTTACGATTGTGATTCTTATCCAGATTCATATCCAAATTTTAAAAAGGCAGTTGACAAACCAAAATCTCTTGTTCCTTATCACAAATATGGCCAGGATCTGTGCATGACACTCACATTATGCACATTATTTGATCGTGGTAAGGAAAAATATAAATATCAAGCTCACTGTATTACATAGTACACTTATGCTTACCCTATAAGCATAAGCATAAATATATAATGCTTACCCTAGATCATCTCTAATATTGAGATGACAGCTACAGGATCCTGCTTGGAGACAGGTGTTTATGACCCCATTCCCTGACCCAAACCCCAGACCAGTTACAATGCTGCTCTAGCCAGGAAAAGGGCACACAATGAACCAGGGCTGTAGTACTCGAGTCCGGTCTTGGACTCAAGTCCGGACTCAAGACCGTTTTTCTATGGTCTCGGACTTGTCTCTGTCTCGGCCACTGGTCTTGCCAAATATGGCCTTTGGTCTCGACTGAGTCCAACATTTTTGTATGTGTGTTAATTTATTACTAGCCTATTAGGGTAACGTTAACCAAAATGAGCCGACCAAGTGCTAACTACAACGGAGTGTGTCTTCTCATGCTGTTACTATTATCTTACTAGCTACTACTTAAAAATCCTAGGTGTTGTGACACTTTTGCTTTTAGATCAATAAATAAAAACCCAAAATTACTGTCTTGATACTGTCATGCAAGACCAGGGCTCAAATTTCGGCGCGGGATTGCGGGTATTGAGCATAATTCTAATCATTCTCGCAGGTCTCCCATTTCTAATGCGGGATATTCCCGCAGGAGTCGGGACATGAAAGAATATTCACTTGCACAATCGGGCCAGCAGTGCATTGTGAATAAAGTTTACCATTTGAACGTCTTTTTAAGTCTTACCTGTTTAACATTCAAGCAATTTTAAAATATCAGTGCTCGTGCGCTCTCTGATGCACCGCGCGCACATTCATAGAAAATTCGCCTCAAGAACAGCTGGCCAGGCAGTAACAAAAGTTATTTTTCACGGATAATATTGCTTTAACACGCAAACTGTGTCAAATTCGGTCTTATACTCTAAACATAGTCGGTTTTGTCTTTAATAAGCATAAAACCTATGCCAGTATGAACACTTGCTCTTAAAGTGACAGCAACCATATGTGTCGGTCATTAATTTTGTCGTCAAAACAACAAAAGAGAGCTTTAAGTTAAAGGAATCAGGATTGATAGCCTATGAGTTTAATTTATTCAGGATTAAAATACTATCCAGTGTTATTTTCCATTTGATTACTCAATTCAATTATTATAGTGTTAGACCTAATCAAAAACCTTTCTCTTTATTTGTCTTTATTTGTATCTTTATTGTATTTGTTTGTGCAACTTTTTTTCAATTTAACTGAACAATTTAAATCAAGCCTTGTGTTGACTGAATGCAATGCGAGCAAAACATTTAGGCATGATAAATTTAATAATTTTGTTTGGCAAAAAACTCGGACTTGGACTCGGCCTTGACTCGGACTCGAACCTTGGAGTCGGTCTTGACTTGGACTCGAACCTCTTTGGACTCGGTCTTGACTTGGACTTGACTAGTCCTGGTCTTGGCCTTGTCTTGAACTCGACAAAGGTGGTCTTGACTACAGCCCTACAATGAACTTCAGCCAACTAAAGTGTCTGAAAAAAGTCTGAGGGTTTCACCTGACAGGGCCTGTGACATTGCATGGGCCATTTTACACAACATTGTACCATCAGAAAAAAAATAAATAAATAAAAAAACATTTCATTAATGTTTAATAAAAGACAAGACAAATATCCTTAGTTCTTTGAGTTTAATTTTAATTGTTCTTTGTAAAGAAAAGGCAGTCATAGTCATATTTTGCCTGCGATAAGAGATATTATGCAAAGTCAGCAATAGTACTCTGTGTAAAATAATATATTATCACTTACTCTGAAGG